TTTCTTTGGATAAAGAATTTCTGTGTTAACTGTGGTTACTATGGATAAAGATAAAATAGAAGAGTATCTGACGTGCAAGGGCATTTATTCTCCACTGGGACCTGTGGCCCCAGCTGAAAGGAGCAGGAAGGCAGGCTCACAGTAAAAGCCACCGTCTGGGACTCACAGGGAAGTGACATATTTGCCTGGAGCACTGAGGGGCCATTGTTATGGTGCCTGGCCAATTCTGAGCAGTGTGTTTTGAGCACAGGGTTACAGTTACAAAGTCAGAATAATTTATTTTGATGCTCAATATTCGAAGAATAATATATGTATTTATTATATATATGGTGACCATGTATCATTCTTCTTAGAACCCTTAGAAATGTAGAAAGGAAATAATTTAGTTTATGAAAAAATACAAAGTGCTCCACTCAAAGCTTCTTTTGATGGTATATTATCAATTCAGTAAGAAAGGAGGGCTTGTGTGATATTCATAGTCAGCATTTTATTACTTCCTAGGGGAAAGGCCCTCAGTATGGTATTTAAGTTTATCATATATACCTTTCCTAAATTACTCCACTTTTCTTTTGTTTAAAATTTTATTTTTAGAAAGAGGGAAAAGGAGAGAGAGAAACACTGATGCACCAGAAAACAGTTTGGGGCATGCAAGAGGGGAAGCCTCGCCTTCCAGTTCGGGCTTTCCAGGGTGAACATCTAAGGTCATTTTTTTAGTCCTCACCTGAGGACATCTTTTCATTGCTGAGAAACAGAGAGAGAGAGAGAGACATCAATCGGTTGTCTTCTGGTATGCACCCTGACCCTGTCTTGGAATCAAACCCACCTTTCCGTCTGTGGAACAATGCTCCAATAAACTGGGTCACACTGACTAGGGCCTGGGGTCATTTTTTTGGACAATGCTGCTCCTTCATAGCAAACTATCCCTAAGACTGTGAGTGCTCATCAGGTGTGTGTCTGGAATAAGAGGAGAGCGAGTCATTTTACACCCAATCTTTGGAATCTAAATTAATTGAATTTGTCATACTTCCTCAGGGATGAGCCAGATTGTCACCATTTCCCCATTCCAATCTCCATTTATTAGCAATAAGTTCTATGGAGATCTAGAGATTGTTTTGCCAGCTAATACTCCCTTCATCCTTTGACATTGAAGTTGGAAAAGGAGAGGCGTATATTGATCCTCCTCATCTCACCCTCTTCAGATTCCTTGGTGCATGAATTCCTTCGAGGATCCAGCTAAGGCAGGTGCCCAGGTGCCACTACTCCTCACTCAAAGGGCCTCTGCCATTAGCATTCAGGTCGGCCGCCAACATCAGTCTGATACACTCTTATAAAAGCTACAAGCCTGTGGTTACAGAGAGCAAGCACTTCCTTGGCTATTTTTGCCCCTTACACCAGACACTAAGGAAACAGGATTTACATTTGGTCAAAGAAGGCAGACTGTGGTGATCTCCCTAGCTGTGGGGGTGGTGGAGGACTGTGCCTCAGCCCCATGGAACTCTGGCACCAAGATTCCAGGGGACCATGGGGATGTGAAGGAGTTCTATTATTTTGAGCAGTCACAGGCAGGCTGGTATTTGTAATTTTGGGGGGAGACATCAGGGTGAGAAAGATGAAATACCTTGATCTCTGGAGAGAATGGGGTTGCCTCCTCCAGGGGAGCGGCTCCTCCCAGGGCTCCTCGTGCAGACCTGGATGCTAATGGTGTTTTGCGTCCTGACAACTGTGCTAGCTACGCTGTACCACTCTTCCTTCCATCCCGGCAGGTTTCCTGGAGAACACTTTCTGTCCTTAAGAGGCCCTGAAATTTTTATAACCTTTAGACCCCAGAAAACCTGGATTTGTTTATGATTTCAGGCACACTTCCAGGAAATTTATCCAGAACTAATAACTCAGAAATTTTCAATAATTTTGTAGGGTGATTTCAAGTGGATTCAGAACCTCTAGGAAATCTCCTCTGATTTGATGCACCAATTTAAGACAGGAGTGGGCATGTTTGAGCCTCCTGACTGGTGAGGCTGGGTAATTCACTGTACTAGGGAGCCAGGCATTAACCCCTCCCTGTCATCTGCAGTCACTCCTCTCTGCTCGGTTATGTGCTGTTTCAGCAATTCCTCCAGTCAGAGTAGCTCTGGCTGCTGAGGAGGCCACTTGTTTGAGTTTACAAGTTGTTTTGATTTTTAAAATGATTTCAGAAGTGCTATGAAGTGGCAGTCCTTTCTCTTGTGTTTTCTTGTAAGGAATTTTAAAGAAAAACATTAGATAAAATACCAGTGTTTTGTAAGCTGATAACATTGAAAATAAGCCATTTACTAGAATATGGAAGGGCAGGTTCAATAGGAAGAGATGGTTAGATCGCTGAGTGGATCCAGTTATTAGTTGAACTAGGGATAATGAAGTTAGTGTGGGCTGATTTGGGTAGAATTTTGAAGACATTCTATTATTGGGCCCTGATCAGTGTGGGCCCTGATTGTCAATACATGTTTCATTTGGAGATGTTTTCTTAAAACAAGACCATCAGAGGTACCTTCCCGAGAAGGTGGTATTTGAGTTGAGACTGAATAGGTGAGATAGGCGCCTGTGTGCAAAGACCATCAGGCAGGAGAACACTGGGGTTTTTTTGAGATACATTCAGGAACATGGTTAAAACAGAGAGCAAAAGGTGGAGTAGGAAGAGGTACAGTCTAAGGAAATGGTGGACCCCACTGCATAGGGACTTTAAGGGCATTTGAAGGGTTCTACGTAGGATGGAGTGGGCATCCCGAAGTTTGAGAGGGGAAGGTGAAATAAAACATTTGGAGAATGGAAAACCTTCGTACTTAGGAGAGTGTAAGAGGATTAGCAAAGAGTAGTAAGGGTACCACTTGAAGTTGCACTAAAGAAATAGTTTACTGATACATCTTTTTTTCTAACCTTAATGAGAATATTCCTTTTGCTTCACTATTCAGAACGATACTTGCCATTTATTTTTTACATTGAAATTCTGTACCTTATAGAAGTTTGTTTTATTTTTAATTAAATTTATTATGGTGATATTGGATAATAAAATTATATTTAAGTTTCAGGAGTACAATTCAATGACATATCATCTGTAAATTGCATCGTGTGAAGTTTTCCTTAATGTTTTACAAGTAATGAATTTTAGAATCATAAACATGTTGAATTTCATCAAATGCTTTTTGGTACCTACAAGATAATCATTCATTTTCTTTGTTAATACTCTGAATTATATCATTAGATTTTTCTGATGGTGAATAATCCTTGCATTCCTGGGGCACATCTGTTTAGTTATGATGTATTATTCTTTAATATATTGATGTATTTGATGGGATAATATTCTATGCAGCATGCTTTCAGCTCCACCTGCAAATAAAGACGGCCTGTAGCATTATTTACTGTGGTCCTTTTCAGAGATAAGAATAGCCTCACTAAGTAGCTCTCTAACTCTTTCTATACTCTGAAAGGATCTGCATGATAAAAGTTAACTGTTTCTATAAACTTTGCTAGATTCACCTGTACAATGAGGTCACTCGTGGGCTCTTAGGGGCGTACTTTGAACTAGATTTCTATACTGGGCAGTAAAGCTTTCTAGCTTTTCTTGGGCTCATTTTGGATATATTTCCTCTCTAGAAAATTATTTCCCCCCCAAATTTTGCTGTCAAATTGCCAAGGTTGTCTTTTGAGGTTTTGGAAATTCTGTACCATGTGCCTAGATGTGTGTACAGTTTGGTTCATAGTGTCGTTATGTTTACCTCTCTCTTCTCATGATCAGTTAAGCCAGGTTTGTTGCTTGTATTAGCCTCTTCAAAGAACACTTTTGGTCATTATCCCTCTGTTTTGCATGTATTATCTTTAACTAGCAACATATTTATTCTTTCTTACTTCTTTACTCTTCCTCCCCCCTATATTTTCTAACTTCTTCAATTGACTATTCAGTTCATTTCTTTTCAATCATTCTTCCTGTTTCTTTCAATAAAATGAAATATCTTTTACTGTTTTTAATGCTTTCCCCCTAAACTCTATTTTTTAAAAAAAGATTTTATTTATCTTTAGAGGGGAAGGGAAAGAGGGAGGAAACATCAATGTGTGGTTGCCTCTCATGGGTCCCCTGCTGGGAACTGGCCTGCAACCCAGGCAAGTGCCCTGACTGGGAATCGAACCTCAACCCTCTGGTTTGCAGGCCCACACTCAATCCACTGAGCTACACCAGCCAGGGCTTAAACTCTGTTTTTAAATAAACATACGAATATTTATGAGGGTCATCATAGCTTGATGACTTATCACATCAGCTAATCTGACAGCTGTGTAACCAGCACTTAGGTTCGGAACAGGCTGTAACATCACTACGGGAGCCCCTGATACCCCTGCTCGAAACTGTTGTTTGCCAAAGGTGACCACTATTCTGACTTCTGATGTAGATTACCTTGATGCATTTTAATCTTTGAGTAAATGAAATGAAGGAATACGTGTTATTTTGAGTATGGATAATTTTGTTCATTATTATGTTTATAAAATTATTCCTATGTTTAAATGCAGTCTTCGTTTATCTTCATCGATGTAGTGGATTCCATTGTATGAGCACACCACAATATATTCACTGATTCCACTGGGGTGGACACTTGGGTTGTTGCTAGTATTTGGCTACTAGAAATGATGTTGTTATGAACATTCTTGACCAGGACATTCAGTGCACAGCTGTCCATATTTTCTAGGCATGTGATCACAGTTGGACCATAACACGTGCATATGTTCTCTTTGGTTCAGCTTTAGAAGATACCGTTCAAATCACTTACCAAAGTAACTGCAGTGATTTCTCTTCTCTATACTCAGTTAAGAAGATTCCCATTGTTCCAGGCCCACACCACCTCTTGAATTGTCAACGTTATCAAATTTTAGTCTTTCTTTGAGTGTGCAATAATATCCCACAGTGGTTTCTTATTTGTAGTTTCCAAATAACTTTTTCTAAACATTCATTTTTAACCTTTCTGTATTCTACTTTTTAGGTTTGATATTAAACACTGATCTGAAGACACTAGATTTGGGGTGTCCCAGCCAGGATTGAGTGATTCAGTAAACCTCAAGGACAAAGCTAACTGAGGAACATCACTGAGTCTCAGACCTGGGCAAAGTTTCTGCCCAGAGTAGACTCTCCTGGGTGAATCAGCAAGCCTAATAAACATTATCTTCTAATTAGCATAAAATGCCACTAGGTGGACCTGCGGCCTCATATATTCAAACCCAGTTTTAAACAGCAGCATTTTCCAGCATCCTCAACCATCTAAAACTCATTTAAAACCTTTGGAGTTTGTTGTTTACTCATGGAAGCGATAAACTCTAAGACTAATTATACCCAGAACCCAAATTGTAACATAATGATATTTTATCCAACCAAAGAAGAGTTTAACGATTTTGATAAATACATTGCTTCCATAGAATCCCAAGGTGCCCACCGAGCTGGCCTGGCTAAGATAATTCCACCCAGGGAATGGAAAGCCAGACAGACGTATGATGACATCAGCGATATCTTAATAGCCGCTCCTCTCCAGCAGGTGGCCTCCGGGCGGGCAGGAGTGTTCATTCAATACCACAAGAAGAAGAAAGCCATGACTGTGGGGGAGTATTGCCGCTTGGCAAACAGTGGCAAATATCGGACTCCACCACACGTGGATTTTGAGGATTTGGAGCGAAAATATTGGAAAACCCGCCTCTACGATTCACCCATCTATGGCGCTGACATCAGTGGCTCCTTGTTTGATGCGAACACCAAGGAGTGGAATCTTGGCCACCTGGGAACCATTCAGGACTTGCTGGAGCAGGAGTGCGGAGTTGTCATCGAAGGCGTCAACACACCCTACCTGTACTTCGGCATGTGGAAGACCACCTTTGCTTGGCACACGGAGGACATGGACCTTTACAGCATCAACTACCTGCACTTTGGGGAGCCCAAGACTTGGTACGCCGTGCCCCCAGAGCACGGCCAGCGCCTGGAACGCCTGGCCAGGGAGCTTTTTCCAGGCAGTTCCCGGGGCTGTGAGGCCTTCCTGAGGCACAAGGTGGCTCTCATCTCGCCCAGTGTCCTCAAGGAGAATGGGATCCCCTTCAGTCGCATCACTCAGGAGGCTGGAGAGTTCATGGTGACCTTTCCCTATGGCTACCACGCTGGCTTCAATCACGGCTTCAACTGCGCCGAGGCCATCAACTTTGCCACCCCGCGATGGATCGACTACGGCAAAGTGGCCTCTCAGTGCAGCTGCGGGGAGGCCAGGGTCAGCTTTTCCATGGACGCCTTCGTGCGCATCCTGCAGCCCGAGCGCTATGAGCTGTGGAAGAGCGGGCAGGACCGCACCGTTGTGGACCACGTGGAGCCCACGGCTCCGGGCAGCAGGGACCTGAGCGCCTGGAGGAAGAGCCCGGCGGACAGGAGAGCGGCTCTGGGCTTGAGGCACCTTCAGCCGCGTCGGGCCCCGAGTAAAGCTGGCGCCGCGGGCCGGGGCGCTGCGCGCCGCCGTCGCGCCCCAGTGCTCCAGGCCTCCCTGCTGCTCTCCCTACCCCGGGGCCCTGCCTCTGCCGCCCGATGCGCAGCTGCCGTGGCCGGCCGCTCCTCCAAGGCTGACCCACCCTTGCCGCCACTCCGGGGTCCATCTGCCCGGGATCTCCAGTCCACTCGCAGATGTGGTGGTGGTCGTTGTCTTCGGGAACTGGGGGCTCGGGAGCCAATTGTTCAGGCCCGGGCCAAGAGGCGCCGCTCAGTGGCCACAGCGCGCACTGCTCCGGACCCCGAGGCCCTGCCTGTGTCCCAGGATAAACCCTCCCTGGACAACCCTGCATCTCTGAGCCTCGAGACACCCCATCCTGTCCTGGCTCCTGGGTCCTGCTTTGCTCCAGTCTCCTAATCCTAAATCTAGGGGACGCCCGCCTTGCTGCCCACTGCTGTTTTGTGCGCAGAGACATTGAGACATCTCAGAGCTTTAAGCAAGGTTTTAAGTCACTGGTCTAGCATGAGACTTCCCGGTGTTGCCGCATCTGGACGGGCTTAGCTGGTGCTATTTACCAAGTTCGCCCTACTTCTTCCTGCCGGACCCTGAAATGTCTTTGGACACTGCTAACTCCTGTGTCTGCATCCGAGGTTTTTCCACTGGACACCGTCGTGTCTCTGTGAACCCTGTGAGTTCCGCTGAGTTTGAGGAAGCCTGATCCGCGCAGACTCCTTCCTCTGGGACAACCCTGGACGTTGACCAACTCCGGACGTTGCTTCCGAAGAATCCCGGGCTTTGGTTCCCCTCCGATCTCTTTCTCTTTTTCTCTTTCTCTTCCCCTCCCATTTTAGGCTAAACTAGGCCCTTTTGACCACTTAGGTCAGTAGAGGCTCAGAAAATAATTTATGATCTTTGAGTCATTGCTGTGTTTATAATGTTATCTATTATGAGTATTTCTTCACAAATATATTAAAGGCAACAAAAATTGGAGTTTTTCCCCATATTATTGTCCATTCAACCAACTGAGGGCTTGAGGTTACTATTTTATGCACTTTTCTGAATAATTATATCAAAACATCTAAAGCAAACCCTATTTTTATGGCTTGCTAAAATTGTGTGGAGTCGGTGAATCCTCTGGGGAAGGTTGTTGGGTTCTGCCTGGCAGGCTGGCTGGGGAATTTGATGTGTAGACTTCCTTAAGGACGACCTGTTGGAAGTCAGCTGGTAACTCGTGAGCAGTAGTATACAAGTTGCTGAGGTGAACAAGCATAGGACAAAAGTGCCATCATCCAAATACCTTAAAGTCTCCACTGCTGTCTCGTGGCTCTGTATACAATGGTTTATTTATTGATTCATCTCAATAAATGAGTCCATAAACAAATGAACAGATCATTTCCATTGGTATTATGTGGGGATGGGATGACACAGCAGAATTGACTGGGGCCAGCCTGGCTCCTGCTGATCTGTGAACACCTCTTAGAGCAGGAGACCTTTCTGAGCCCCAGCTGACAAGAAGGGAGGTCCAGTGTTACCTTCCACACAGAGTAAACAGCAAGTGTAATAGCTCTATTGTGGAATAGAAAGGAAGCTCATTTGCATCTGGGTCATAGAACCGAAGGAGACAGGCAGGGTCCAGGGTGCGTAGGATCTTGTGACTGATACAAAGTATTTGAATATTTTTCAACTCGAAATAAGAAGGCATTGGAAATTTAAAACAGCTCTTGATATGATACACACATTTCAGTAATGTGCTTAGTTCTGTGGACAATGTGCAGGCAAGAGAAGTTAGAACACCTAAGTAATAGAAGTGAGAACTGATGGTTACTCTGAGGCATTATTACAGAAAATGCACAAAAGTGGGCAAACTCATAATACATCTTGAAAATTGAAAATGATAGTTTGGATACAGAGGAAAACATTTCAAAGAAGCAAACCACTCCTCCACTGTCCCGAGCTCTCCCTTACAGAATTTCAGTAAGGCTCAGGAACTTGAAGCACCTTATAAAATTGAAGGCGGGAGAAATGCAAAAGCAGCAATCGTTTGAAATGTGAGGAGCAGCAAAAACCCGTGTCACATCCTTACCACCAAAAGGAAGTAGCTAGGCAACTTTCTTTTTCCCTGATGTATCTGGAGATAGAAGTATATTATGTGGAGAAGGGAAGCTGAGAGTCTGAACTCAGCAATTCCAGGCACAGTGGAGGATGGGAATGAGATGCTTGACTGAAAAGGAGATTAAGCTGAATTTGAGATGGTGGAACCAGAAGATGGAAGCCCACTGGTCTCCCCTGAAGTGTGGAGGCCTGGAGAGCCCCTGGCCTCACAGTCGATATTACATGGGCAAGAAATAAACTTTTGTGTGGCAAGTAACTGAGACCTTGCAGGTGGGGGGGGGGCGGATTTGTCCTTCCACTCAGGTCGTTGTGAATGTGGCAGTGCAGAGAAATAAAGGAATTCAGAGAAGTCTTTTTAAAGGCAATAGTCTGGCTCATATTCCTATTTTAAATTTTAGAAACTGAAAACTTTTTGTCATAATTCAGGAACATCACCATCTATTCCATGGAAGACCAGATGCCCTGATAAGCATAGGATAAAAAAAAATTGGGGTCTTTGGAAGAGAAGAAAAAAAGAATTCTTTTCCTCAGAAAATATTGCTCTTATTGCACTCAGGTTTTCACTTAGTTATTTGCATAATTTTTTAAACTATTTTCCCAATAAGCACAAGCGATATTAAAAATATGGTTTAGAAGCACCAATAAAGTGGTTTCTAAGTTAATCTCGAAAGGAAAAGGAGCTGGGTGTGGCGGTGAAGGACGTTCTTCAAGAAAATCTATTCAAAATCCTATTTCACTTCCTGAGCACACATTCGATTTGGACATGCTCAATGTGGACGCTCTTCTTGACAAAAGATGCCCATTGCCAGCTGTTTCTCCATGTCCATTAAGTTTTTGCTATACCCGGTCATGGAAAAGCAAGGGATACTGATTTTGAAAATATATAGAGGCCGGGATGCAGCCACCTTTGTTCTCTCTGCCATGATCTATCCCAGGTCTCTCTCCACTTCTGGGGAATAGTTATGAGTTTAATGTGTATTCTCCAAGTTCACAAGTGAAAGTCTACGCAGTCAAAGGTAATATGCCGTGTGTGGCTTTGTCAACTTACACCGCCCCCATCTTTTTAAAAAGTCAATATTCCATTGACAAGATCGAAAAGCATGGTGATATGTAGGCCTTGGTCAGTCCAACAAAGTCAACTAGATCTGTATCATTGTATGTTTATTCCCCTGCCAATGGACAATAGGATTATTTCCAAATCTTTGTTAATTTAAACAGTGGCTTACTGAGTAGCTTTGCATATAGAAATAGAATAACGGGTTTGTATTTATGTTCTGGTCAAGCTTTCCCAAGAACAACCTTTGTAGCCTCCAATTTCTTTCTCTACCCGCCGTAGGAGAGCGTTCTGGTTTCTCCGTGTCTTCAGCCATGTTTTTATACTGTCTGACCACTTCACTTTTCCTAGCCTAAGTGAGTGAGAAAGAGTACCTTGTCGCACTTCCCTGATTACTAGTGACCTGCGGGGCTTTTTCTTCATATTTATTTGCCACTTGGATTTCTTTAATGAATTGCTTGTCCTGAGGCTTTGTTCACTCTTTTGAGGTTGACTAGTTTTCTACTGACCTATGCAAGTTTCAGGATACGAATTCATTATCTATTTTGTGTATAAGGAGAACTTTCTCCTAGTCTTTCATTCCTTGTTTTTTGAAGTGTTGACATTTTAATTGTTTTTATTTAATAGAATCCTCACCCAAGGACAGGTCCACTGACTTTACAGAGGAGAAGAAAAGAAGGAGAAGTGTGTAGAGAAAAAGAGAGAGAGAGAGAAGGTGAGAGAAACACACCTATTGTTTGGCTTCCCCATGTGCCCTCACTGGGGCAAGAATCCACAATCTAGGTACGTGCCTTGATGGAATCAGACTCACAACGTTTTTGGTGTATGGGACAAGGCTCCAAACAACTGAGCCATCCAGCCAGAGACTGTAATCTCTTTTACTTTTCTTATGTCATTGTATCAGTCAAGGTTCTCTGGAGAAACAAAACCAGTAGGGAAAGATATAGGTATACAAAGAGCTTAATTACAGAAATGAGTGCAAGCGGTTATACCACGCTGGCTTCAATCACGGCTTCAACTGCGCAGAGGCCATCAACTTTGCCACCCCGCGATGGATCGACTACGGCAAAGTGGCCTCTCAGCGCAGTTGCGGGGAGGCCAGGGTCAGCTTTTCCATGGACACCTTTGTGCGCATCCTGCAGCCCGAGCGCTATGAGCTGTGGAAGAGCGGGCAGGACCGCACTGTTGTGGACCACGTGGAGCCCACGGCTCAGGGCAGCGGGGATCTGAGAGCCTGGAGGAAGAGCCCTGCGGACCGCAGCTGCGTCGGGCCAAGAATAAAGCTGGCGCTGCGCCCCGCCGCCGCGCCCCTGTGCTCCAGGCGTCGCTGCTGTTCTCCCTACCCCGGGGCTCTACCTCGGCAGCCCAGTGCGGAGCTACGATCTCCCGCTGCTCCTCCAAGGCCGACCCACCCTCGCTGCCACTCCCGGGTCCATCCGCGAGGGATCTCCAGCCCCCTGGCTGATGTGGTCGTGGTCCGTGTCCATGGGAACAGGGGACTCAGAAGCCAATCTTTCAGGACGGGGCTAAGAGGCGCTGCTCAGTGGCCACAGCGCACACTGCTCCGGGCCCCCAGGCCCTGCCTGTGTCTCCTGATGGACTCTTGGTAGACAAGGCTGCACCACTGAGCCTTTGGCCTCGCATCCTGTGAGGGCTTCTGGATTTCGCTGTGTCCTGATCTTCGACCCTTTTGGTCCCCATTAGATCCTGGTGAACCAATGCACCCTGGCCCTTGCCTGTTCTCTCTGGAAAATATCCCAGCCAATCTCCCTGACAGTGTCCCCCTAACTCCTCCCAGTATCATTGGGACTCTGATAATCTCCCAAAGATGCTGCTGGAAACTGCAAAACCCTTGTCAACCTCTTTGACGTGTTAAGGATGGATCACTCTTATGCCTTCATGGTCCAGGTCCAGGCTTAAGTTGTCATAAGCTCTTCTGACTCTGACTGTGATTCCCTGGGAGTAAGCTAGAGGCAGCTGCATCTCTTGAGTCCTGGGACATGTTCACCACCAAAGCATGGTGTTGAGTCACTGTCGAAGATCGTGTCAAATATGACTGTATCTGACCCTCAACTCTAGGAACCACAGACCCTCCCAGCTAAGCAACAGTCTGGACTGAGCCGTCGCCAGTCGAGACGCTTCATCTCCTAAAGATGATATATTTCTTAAGCTGCCGGATGTTTCTACTACTGTGATAACTTAAAGTTTCCACTCTCCCGGAAATGGAATCTCAAAGCAGTCAGTCTGGACTCACGTGATCAGCACTAGTTTGGTCATCTGCCTGATGGACCACGGCCATTCCCTAGAGGAAAGTAACCTTGCAGTAGGGGCCCAGTTTTTTGACCAGTACAACTTCCTGTTTCCGCTCCCTTCTGCCTGTAAAAGCCTTTCATTTGGTCCAGCTCCTTGGAGCTCCTTTCTGCCTGCTGGATTGGATGCTGCCTGATTTGAATCACTCGGCATTTTTAATATACCTTAGTTTACCTCTTAACAATCTAAAACAAAGTGATTCGGAAAAGTTAAAAGTAAAAGGACAGGCAAAAAACTCTATGAGGCAAATACAAACAAAGCAAGGGCCATGGACCTAAATATCAGACAAATTAGAATTGAGGCTCAAAGGTACATAAAAAAAGATAAGTTTCTCCATGAAAATATGGCAGTCATGAATATCTATGCAACTTGGGTAAAGTGTAAATTGCAGAAAGTAAAACAAATTAAAAGAAACGCTAAAAATAGGGTCTTCTTATGTGATGTTGTGATTTACAACAAATATTCATTTGGTCTTCATCCCTGTTTGGGGTGTAGAGCTCTTAAGAGATGAGAGCTATAAAGGTGTTTTTTTGTTATGTTAATGAGAAAACTTTAGGAATGCCCCTTGGTCACCTAAAGATGGCTTGTAGTTGCCTGAGAAACTAACCTTGTGATTAGAGGGTTGGAACTTTAAGTCCCAACCCCTAGCTCCTAGGCCCACCCCATGGGAGGAGAGGGAGGCTTGAGATCGAATCAGTGCCATGGCCAGTGATTGAATCAGTCATGATTATGTAATGGAGCCTCCCTAAACCAGAAAAGTCAGGGTTTGGGGAGCTACCGGGTTGGGGAACACGCGGAGGTGTTGGGAGAGCGGTCCTCCAG